CTGGCTAAAATTATGTTAATTTTTGGCCGGAATTATGATATACAAATATAAGAAATTTTTTATATAGTCACATCTCTTTATAATCACCAAATATGGACTGTCCCAAATGTGTGACTATAAAGAGAGTTGACTGTATATCATTTTCTTCATCAGAATCAGTTTCCTTCCACTCCTCTGAATGATAACCAGATTCCTTAAGAATTCGTACAAGCTCCTTCTCCGGGTATCTACAAATATATTTATCATTATTTTCTATTAAATAGTTTGCCGTTTGAGCTTTTCTTTTTTTTTCTAATAATAATAAATAATTATAAAATTAAATAAAATTAACTAAATTCCCACTTCATATTAATAAAATGGTTACTAATGTCCATAGTTCTTGAATTCTTCTTTAATCTCACAGGTCGAATAGTGTCAAATCAGTCAACAATCAGTCACAAATCGGGTACCCGATTTGTGTATGGTTGCCAACTGATTTTCTCAACCGGGTGCCAACCGGGTGCCAGTCAGGTTCCCGATTGGTTGTCAATTTCCGCTAAAATCCGACACCAATCAGGCAGTCCTGTTGGCGCATGACTGATGACCGATTGGTATCAGATATACACCTGATTGTTGACCGATTATTGACTGGTTTATGTCTGATTGGTAACCGATTTATTTTGTTTAATCTGACACCAACCAGGCATTTGACGGATTAGTGACGGATTGCCGACGGATTGCTGACCGGTTGCTTTCCAATTTAGCCTGCACTGAATATTTGATTATGGCCCGCATTATACATTTTTTGTAATTATTTGAATTTATAAAATTTACCGCACAATTTATACAATTTAAAATGATCACGTTTGATTATATAAATGTATTTTATTATTAACATAAAAATATATAGATATATTGCATTGTATACAATAATACTACTAATTTTACAAGCGAAAAATTGGTACATATTCGTTTCTGATTGCCGAAAGCAATGAAATTTGTATCATATTAATATCTTTAAAATATAAAGTCAGAAACGAAGATCAGAATGAACCTACTGTACATTGTTAAAGCTAAAATAGTGCCCAATCGGTAACGCTTTGATGTATAAAAGATCATTTGATGCACATACAACTCTTCCGCTATTAAGTTTTGGACCACATGCCGTCTCATCTCAAACATAATCGTATGGTTGTAATTCAGGTACATTTGAAAAAAATGAAATTGACACATCATTAAAGCCTGAATAGTGTTCAAAAGTTTATCAAAATCGGTAGGTACATTTTCGTTTCTGATCGCTGAAAGCAGAAGTCAATTTGAAAAAAAGAGATTTGCATCATATTAACATCGTTAAAAAAGTTGTGCTAAAAAGAAAAATCGGTACGAACCTATATCATTAAAAGCTTAAATAGTCCTAAAAGTTAATCAAAATCGGTAGGTACATTTTTGTTTCTGATTGCTGAAAGCAGAAGTTGATTTGAAAAAAAAGAGATTTGCATCATATTCACATCTTTAAAAAAAGATAGAAACAAAAATTGGAATAAACCTACATCATTAAAAGCTTAAATTGTGCTAAAAGTTAATCGAAATTGGTAGGTACATTTTCGTTTCTGATTGCTGAAAGCAGAAGTCAATTTGAAAAAAAAATGAGATTTGCGTTATATTAAAATCTTTAAAAAAAAATTAGAAACAAAAATCGGTACGAACCTACATCATTAAAAGCTTAAATGGTACCTAAAAGTTCATCGAAATTGGTGGGTACATTTTCGTTTCTGATTGCTGAAAGCAGAAGTCAATTTGAAAAAAAATGAGATTTGCGTTATATTAAAATCTTTAAAAAAAAGTTAGAAACGAAAATCGGTATGAACTTACATCATTAAAAGCTTAAATGGTGCTTAAAAGTTCATCAAAATCGGTGGGTACATTTTCGTTTCCGATTGCTGAAAGCAGAAGTCGATTTGAAAAAAAATGAGATTTACGTCATATTAAAATCTTTAAAAAAAGTTAGAAACGAAAATCGGTACGAACTTATATCATTAAAAGCTTAAATGGTACCTAAAAGTTCATCAAAATCGGTAGGTACATTTTCGTTTCCGATCACTAAAAGCAGAAGTTGATTTGAAAAAAAAGAGATTTGCATCATATTCACATCTTTAAAAAAAGTTAAAAACAAAAATCAAAATGAACCTACATCATTAAAAGCTTAAATAGTACCTAAAAGTTCATCAAAATCGGTAGGTACATTTTCGTTTCCAATTGCTGAAAGCAGAAGT